GGGGTGGAGGCCTCGGTCGGGAGGTCGGGGGCGGGAAGGGAATTCCCGGGTGGGAATCGCAGCGGGGGTTATCACAGAGCATACGAAGCGGCTAAGAGCGTTAGCGGACCTCACGAGAGGACTCAGACGACTTTTCGTCGCTGCCCTCCCCCCAGGCGTCCATGGTGCTGGCGCCGCGGACGGGCGCCCACTGGGGCCAATTCAAGTCATGCAGGTTGTGAGGAGCGCGGCGTCTCGGCTCCTGGGGTCACGGGCTTGGCCCCCCGCGGGCAGGTAAGTGGTTCCCGTCGGCACCCACGGCCACCCGGGAGGACGCTCCGGTCCCAGTCCCATCGGCCACCTCGACTCCAACGGGCAGCAGGCGCGGGCCCTCAGCGAGCTTTCCGTCCCGCAGGCTCGCGGCCCGGGGGCCGGCCGCCGCCGTCCACGCGGGCGCCCAGCAGTTGCAGGACGCGGCGGCCAAGCGGGAAGCTGAGAAGGCGGCGGCTCCGGCTCCGGCTCCGGGCCGCAGCGGCTACAGGTGAGGGCCCCTCCGGTCCAGCCTTCGGGAGACCGGCTCCACCCTCCAGTGTCAGAACCGGTCAATTCCCCAACTCTGTCACTTGCCATCTGTGCGACATTATGAACATTCACCTCAGTCTCCGCTTTCTTGACTAAAAATGAATATAATGCCGAGGGAGGCTGTGAGAACAAGTGAGACGAGACTCGGCACAGAGTGGACGCTGAGTGGGCCTCCGGAGAGTGGATCCGAGCGGGTGTCAGAGGTGTGATCGGCTCGCTTCCCTGAGGGCGATCAGGGCACAGCACAGGCAGCAAGGGGGACGGCAGAGGGAGGCCACACTGTGCTGTAGGTTATCCTACGCTTTTCAGAGTTGGTCTGAGGTCTAGGGAGGTATTTGTGCTCAGTTCAAAGAACTGGCATCTCGCTTCCCACCGCTGCACCACCTCGGTGTACTTCACATCCACTTAACAAGCACTTACTCAGAACCTACTATGTGCCAAACACCAACACAAATACAAAGGATGGTTCCTCCCCACAGTAGGGAAGACAGACCTGCAAGCATCTTTATCATAGTCTGATGAGTAGTATACTGGAGGTAAGAACTCGGGGCTTGGAAGTGCGACAGGATGAGTGGCTACCTCCTGAGCTAACGGGGTGAGAGCAGAGGAGGAAACGTGGAGCTGGCAGCTGAACTGGATGGGAGCTCAGCGGACAAGATGAAAGGGCAAAACTGACAGTCTGCGTAAAGGCGTGGTGTGAAAGAACGTGGTATATTCGGGTGTGTGTGAGATGGCAGGTGAGGTCAGCAAGACAAGAAGGAATCAGAATGCCCAGTGTCTTGTCTGTAACGGGGGCAGTGGGGAGCTTCTAAAGGAGTTTAAGTCAAGATTCTGTTCTGGTCATTCAGCATTGCCAGACACTGTGCAAGGTGTTGGGGACACATGGGTGACCAAACACACAAAAATCCCTGCCCCCACAGAACTTAAGTTATAGTGCGTAGGGGACAGCAAATATAAAACAAGCAAAACATGGGAGTATGACAGATGGTGGGAATGTGTCTAGTGTTTATAAGCCATAGCAATAAGGCCAGTGTGGAGTGAGGCATAAAAACGGCAGGTGGAGGCAAAGAGGCCAGGGGTGTAGCATGCACACAGGGCCGCATGAGGTCATCGTCAGGACTTAAGCTTTTTCTCTGAGTGAGATGGGAAGCCACTGGAGAATTTTGAAGACAGCTGACACAATCATGCTTACATTTTTAAAGAGTCTCTTTGGCTGCTGTGTTGATATTGAACTGTAAGGAAGCAAGAAGTCTTCTCAGCTGTTAGAAGACTTGAAATAATCTAGGCAAGAAGATGGTGGCTTAGACCAGAGTGACAGCTGTGGAGGTAGTATGCATGGTTGGGCTGATACATTTAGAAAGCAGAACCAACATGATTATTAATGTAAGGTGTGAGAAAGGAGAGGAATGAAGGAACACCCTAAAATTTTTGGCCTAAACTACTAGAAAGATGGAGTTGTCATTAAGATGAGGAAGACGAGAGGAGCTTGGAAGTTGGAGTTGCATAATGAACATCCAAGTGGAGATACAGTGTTGGCTATTACAGACGGAGTTCAGGGCACAGATCTGGGCCATATGCATGTGGGACACTCACCAGAGACTATGATGAGAGTACAAGATCATCACGAGAGGAAGTGTAGCTGAAGAGCAGAAGTCCAGCCCTGGCCCATGGTACGCCTTTACGCACCACATTATGAAGTGCTGGCTAGAGCATTGGCCATGAACCAAAGGGTCCTGGGTTTGATTCCCAGTTAAGGGCATGTACCTCAGTTGCAGGCTCAGTCCCCAGCCCCAGTTGGGGAGTGTGAGGGAGGCAATCAGTCAGTGTCTCGCTCTCTCTCTCTCACATCGACTTCTCTCTCTCCCTCTCTCTTCTCCTCCCTCTCCCTCCCTTCCACTCACTCTAAAATCAATGGAAAAATATCCTCGGTGAGGATAAAAGAAATTAATTTAAAAATTTTAAAAAGGGTAAGTCCAAGGACTGAACCCACGAGCCCTCTGACATTTAGAGATTTGGCTTATGAGGAAGAATCAGCAAGAGAGACATAAGAGGGGTAGTGGAAAAAAAAAAACTGGAGAGGCTTTTTTCACATGTGGCCTAAGGGCAAAGGTCAGTTATGTTAAATGCCGCTGATATGACCGGTCGATAGGCTGATGCCCGACTTGCTCCTTGCATTTAACGTCGTAAGTTGGTCAGAGACCTTAACTAGAACATTTTTGGTACAATGATAGGAGCTAAAGTCTCCTTGGAGTGGGTTCAAGGAGAACAGAAGATGGGAAGAGAGAGCAGGGACAGTCACTTCTTTAAGAGGGTTCTGCTATAAGGGTCACAGAAATGGCAGTAGCTCAAGGAGGCTTTGGGCTTGAGAGGTTTTTGTTTGCTTTTAGGTTGCGGGTATGACAGCATGTTTTGCTGATGGGAGTGATGCGGTGGAGAGGGGAAGGAACGATGATGCTAGTGTGGAACATTGCTGGAGAGATGTCCTTGAGAGGCTCACACACAAGTGGAGCATCATAACAGGAGAGAATGCAGAGATCGCGGGCACAGATGTTTGGTAGTGGGAGCTGGAAGAAATTCTGATTGCTTCTATTTCTCTGTGAAGGTCATCAGCTGTCAGTGAGGAAGCAGGTTTGAGGAGACAAAAGAAGGTATAAAATAGTCATCCAGGAGACTGGGTGGATAATTGAATGGGGGATGTGCTGTATGATTGCCAAGCAGTGCTGAGGGCCTACTTGATGTTAGAAGTCAGTAAAATAAAGCAGTAGTTCTCAGCCTGGGGCGATTTTGCCTCCAAGGGGACTGTTAGCAATGCCTGAAGACATTTTCGGTTGTCACAACACGGGTGACATTAGGTAGTGGGTAGAGGCCATGGATGCTGCTAAACCAAGATGTGCAGGACAGCCCCCCACAACAATGAATTATCTTACCCAAAATGTCAGTGGTGCTGAGGCTGAGAAACCATAATATAGGGAGACTAGTCGGCATTGCTGTGTATTTTTTTTTTTTTCAGCCAACTGTGCAGGTGCATGCACAGGCTCAAAGTGGCTGGAGATGGATTTAACCATGGTTAGGGGTTTGCCAGGAAAGGACAATGAAGTGGGTTGGGGGGTAGGGGTGGGGATTGAGGGGTGTGCAAGGGAGTGATTATAACGCTTTGCCATGAAATTTACCTGAGGTCAGGGCAGAACTGAAAGCCTCAGGGGTGTGTGGGAAAGTGAAAAGCTGGTAGGATCCGTGGGATTGAAGGATTCTCGTTAGAGGAAGCCAGTGGATGTGCCAGGAGGTGGTGGCCAGAGTGTGATGCTTGGAACTGAGGCTATGATCGGGTTGCAGGTATAGTAATGACAAGGGCTAAATGCCATGGGAGTAAGTAGCCAGGGTAGGATAGAGGACACAGGATCACTGGGGAAAAGGAAGTCAAGAAATAGAGCCAAGGGCTGGAAGGCTGTTACTGAAATCATATATATAGTTATGAAGGGAGCAGTGGGCCATGAGCTGTGATCTTTGCACTTATCCACATTTATCTTCATTTCTAAAAAGTGTCTGTAGCCGAAATTAGAAAATAGATTGGGGGAAAAAAAAAAATAGGTTCAAGACCATGAGGCAGGGCCTTCTCTTTGGGAGTAGAGCTGCAGCTTACCCAGCCGAAGTTCTGACATCTGCCACACTTATGTCAGGGCCCAATGGACTGGCCCAGGGATCGGCAATTTCTCATGCCTGAAGTACACGCAGCAGGAGTCAGCCCTCCTTGCAGAGCCTTAGCAGGGGGGAAACTCAAGGTACGGCCGCGTGAGCAGTGCTCACAGACAGGGCAGCAGCACCAGAACTGAAAGGGAATGGTGGGGGAAGCTACTCAGGAGCAGGTTGGGGGGGCTGCTGTTTTCATTGAGTTTGTACTGTTTGATTACTATGTGATGCATTTCTTTGCTTTTAAAAAACATAAAGAGAATTTTACATGAAATATTTCTTCTTAATTGCAGCATTTACCCTCCAATTCCAGGACAAGAAAGCTCCCTGAGGTGGGCAGGAAAAAAATTTGAAGAGATCCCAATCGCACACATTAAGGCCTCCTATAACAAGTAAGTGGGGAGGGAGACACCTGGGCAGGCCTAGGTAGGCTCCTTTCCCCTCCATAGGGGAAGGCGAGGTGGCCCTGGGCACCTGCTTGGGGTGGAAGCCAGGGTGCTACCTTGCACATGGTGGTGCCAGTGCACATGTTCTCTGGGCTCCCTCCTCCTTTTGGGAAACCAGCCTGTCTTTATAACATTCATTCCGATTTCATGAAAATGTGAACAGGGTTGGGCATATCCTATTGATAAGATTTGCTAAGGGAGGTCCCACCGGTGTGTTAGCAACAGAAACCTTGCTGACATTAGTGACAACTTTGCAGGCCAGCTCCCACTGGAGATGGGTCAGTATTTGGTCATAGCTGCCCACGCAGCAGTTTAGAGAGGAACACGAGAGACTGTTAGTAGTCACAGGTAAGAGTGTGGGGCACAGGGGAGATGTCATAGGATTCACTCCGCTTCCATAAGTGCCCTGGACCTACTCTGTAGCTCCATTTCGGCTGTCTCAGGGTCAGGCAGTTCTCTCATGCTTCTGTTGAGTGGAGAAAACCAAAGAGGCCCTGGTAGGGGAATGGCAGCTGTAGCCAGGCCAACAAGCAGATGGCGCCAGCCCAGGCTGACTCCATAACTGCCTCTTCACTTCCCTCTTCCCTGAGTTCTCAGGGAGTTCTTCAGACCAGAGACAGGGTGATGGTGACCAAGGGGGAAATGGAAAGCATGCTAAGGATTTCTAAAATTATTCTTTATTTTAAAACTTAGAAATGATTAGTAAAACTATTTCACGTTTTTAAAAATTTGATAATGAAATGGAGTGTCATAAGCATTAGAAGTATCCAATATGGTAATGTTGCTAACTCTTTTTAGATATAATGGTTTTGTGGTTGTTTTTTTAAGAGTCATTTTTTAGAGATATATACTGGGATATTTATAGATGAAATGATGGGCCTGGTGTTTGCTTCAAAATAATTCATTAGTGGGGAAAAGGGGGGAATGGAAACAGGGCTTATAGATGAAGCTAAATTGGGTATGAGTTGATCACTGTTGAGGCTGGGTGGTCCATGGGAGTTCATATACTATTCTGTTCACTTTCATATACATTTTAAACTTTCCCTAATGAAAAGTCTTTTTTTTTTAAATCACCTGATGTAAAGCATCTTAGGTGTTTAAGAAAAAATGCCAGACAAGGAGAGCACACCTAACGTGAACACTGGCTACAGGAAAGGCTCTAGGAGGCAATGTGCTGCCCTCCCTCTGGATGACACTCACCACCCTCAGGTTATGGAGCTCGTCTTAGTCTGCTCAGTGGCCAGTACAGAGCACCACAAATTGCCTTGAACAACAGGCATTCACTTCTCGGTTCTGGAGGCTAAACATCCAAGGTCCGGGTGCCAGCATGGTGGGTTCTGATGAGGACCCTCTTCAGGGTTGCAGGTGGCTGGCCTCTCACTGTGTCCTCATGTGGTGGAAGGGGAGAGGGAGCTCCCTGGAGCACCTATTATAAGGGACTAATCCCATTCCTGAGGGCTCCACCCTCACAACCTAATCACTTCCTGCAGGCCCCACCTCCAAATACCGTCATAACTCAGAGTTAGGATTTCAACGTGAATTTGCGGGGGGACACAAACATTGTCCATAACAGAGCTCTCTTAGATTGTATGACTTGTCAGTTTTCAGTGAGGTTTAGATTCTGACTCTTCCTGGTGCCTCCTGTAAGAGTTCAAAAAACATTTAACTGGTAAGTTCAAAGTAAAAGCAGTGACTTTTTTTTCCCTTACTTGGGCTTGTAAGGACATAGGCTAGCCCTCTCTAAAGTCCCTGAACAGTCAATTTTATCTTCTGTGCCTCCCCTGCTTTCCCAGCACACAGATCCAGGTAGTCTCTGCCACTAATCAGCCCCTTGCCCGCACTTCCTGTGGCACAGAGGGGTTTCGGAACGCCAAGAAGGGCACAGGCATCGCGGCACAGACAGCAGGCATAGCTGCCGCAGCGGTGAGTGTATATTCTTTCCGGCTCCCTGTGAAGTATGCTCCCGTTTCTGCACAGCTGATCACTGCGGTGCCAGTTCTCCATGAACCGGACTTTCAGAAGCAATGGGGTATATGCCAACTCTTGCTTGATATCCGAACACTGGGAGTGGTTTGAAGGGGTCTGTGTAAAAAGGCTTCTCTTTTCCTCTTAGCTTCAGTAGAAGTGAAACACTTGTTGGTTCCTTCTAGAAGATGTAAGAGCCAGGTGCTGAAGGCTTATCAAAGCCTCCCTAATTTAAAGGCCAGTGAGGTGTGGTTGGGATTGGTGATAATAGTCTCTTTGGGAAGATGTGTGGTGAAAACCCTCATGCAATACCAATTTGAATGTGAACTGTTGCAGACCTCTCTAGAAGTAGATTGGCAGTGCCGCTATTGGTAGATTTATTGAGTATCTACTATACGCCAGACACTTCACAGTCCATATCTTGAGTCTTCAGAAGACCCTCAGTACTATCCATGTTTTTGAGCCAGTTCAATCACAGAGTGTACGACTTGCTCAGCGGCAGGCAATCATTTTAGCTCCCTGGTTTGGTCTGGGAGCAAAGCTTATACACTGTTTACTGTAGCACAGGCCTTCCATCGGTTCACACTGGTTCTGCCCAGCCACAAGTATTTCCTGAAGGAAAACCTTGACCTTCAAACAAAGCTTAGTGCTCCAAACTCTTGACTGCTATGTATTAATGATCCTCAAAATGTGCTAATGATAACACTTTTTAGGTGGGAATTTAAGCTCAGCCTTAAAGTCCAGGGCTCCTCCTCAGGGTCTGAGATTCTACATTTACCCGCCTGAGAAAAATCTGAGTGATAGTTAGAAATTTCCATTAGGTGGCAGTGGTCTCCTGGGCGAAAGTGATCACAATTGACTTGATATCTGTGACTTGACAGTTCTGTGCTGTCGGCTGGTGTCTGGCTTGCACCGTGGCCATCTGTCCTGTGCTCCCTTCCTGTCTTCTGCCTATTTACAATTGTGGGTGCCTTTTCCCTGGAGCTCATTACCCTGTTGCTTCAGGTGGCAGTAGCTAGAGCCTTGGATATAGCAGTTCTCACTGGGGCACTAACCACTTGTTGCTCCTCTCCAGAAAGCTACAGGGAAGGGTGTGACCCATGTCCGTGTGGTGGTGAAAGGCCTGGGGCCAGGGCGCTTGGTAAGTGACAGTGATTCTCCACAGGATGTGCACTTGCTTCTTTATTTAGACAGATGGGGATTGAGAGCAGGGTAGGGAAAGTGGCCCTGTAGTGGATTTCCATGAGGGCTTGAACTTTCTGTTATAATCTACTGAGCTGCTGAAAGCAAGCCCAGATCACTTAGACTGATTCATCAGACACTTACTGAGTGCCTGCTGTGTGCCAGGCCCTGGGGATAGAAAGGTGGTCCCTGGGGCAATCACAAATGGGTCTCTCAGTACAGACTAGTGGGTGCAGTGGTGAAGCTTGTGCCCGGGGTGCTGGGAGCCCATCAGGTATGATCAGGAAAGCTTCCCTAAAGAGGTGACAATTCTGCTGACTTTTCACAAATAATATGGTATTGTCCAGGTGAGGGGGGGCATTCCAGGCAGAGGAAACAGCTTAAGTAAAGCTCCACAGGTGTAATGCCAATGGTGTCGGGGTTTGCAGGGAGTCTTTGTACTCAGATGGTAAAGCACATGTGGGGAGTGACAGGTGTGACTACAGTAGACAGCACTGAACACATGGTTAAGTGGTTTGGTTGGGAGACCTCTCTGAGCAGAACAGAGTTGGGGTTATAGGTATCAAAACCAGTGAGCCTCTCCACGCCCCTCCCCACTCCACCCCTCCTTACCTTGCCCCCCCTCACTATGCCAATCCTGTCGAGCCCTGTCTGGACAGGCTAGGTCATCATGTTAGCACAGCCATCCTTCTGTTCCTTCTGCTCCTTCCAGTCTGCCATCAAGGGACTGACCATGGGGGGCCTGGAAGTGATCTCAATCACAGACAACACACCCATCCCACACAACGGCTGCCGCCCCAAGAAGGTTCGGAGGCTGTGATGGGAAGGAAGCCTGCACCTGAACCTGACCTCAAGCCCCCACCTCCAGACCTCGTGGAAAGCACACTGTGGAGCTCCCTCCAGAGAGGGGCTTGTTGGAGGTCCTTCAGACAGTAAGGGACAGCTCTGCCTCACATGGTGGCCCTCGTTGTACTTCTGACTGGAGATCACGTGCCCAGAAGTAAGGCCATCCTCTCTTGGACACATGGGTAGCCAAAGGGGCAGTTGTGGCCCAGACCCCAACCAGTAAAGGCTGCCCTGTTCTAAAAAAATAAAAGAATATTCTCTACCATCTGAAGTGATTTGTGAGTTTTTTGCTTCCAGATTTGCAAACAGTAATCCCTGCTTACTCCTGAAAAAGATTTTGAATTGAGATGAAACCCTAGGTTGAAGGGTTAAAATGTAAGTGTGAGCTGCTGCTGTTCACCAGACACCTTCCTCTTTGTTTTCAGACATTTCTTATTTAGACTCTAAACCAAGGTTCCCAGACCTCCTCATAGCAACTTTTATTAACGGCTTGTAATTTGGCCCCAAACTGAGCACTTTTTGCCTCCTAGCTCTGGGCGCACTCGTGGAAGAGTTCACCCTTGGGAGCACCTAAAGTTCGCCCTAAGTGTGGGTGGACTGTCCTCAGTCTAGATCTTCTAAGGGGACAGACTCCCCACAGTGAGGGGGCATCATCCCTTACGTACCAGGGGCTTCAACAGCCCCAGCACCCAAGACTGAGTGACGCTACAGCGGGGAGGGCAGAGTATAAAACAGGATTCTCTAGAATGGGGATGGATGGAGGGCAGGAGTAGAGGCCAAACTGAAAAGTGCAGGAAGCTGGTGTGGAACCCAGATGGCGCTAACACAAGTGGGGTGTCCACACAGAAGCCAAAGGCAGACGCTTGAGACCGAGCCCTCCTTGGACAAAGGGCCCAGGATGAGCATCACCAGGTGAAAAAGCGCGGGGCATGTGCACAGAGCACTGCTCCTTCTCGACAGCCGGCAGGAAGAGCCTGCTGGCCACCCAGGGGAAGGTACTGCGGGTTCCCCTCTGTGCCCAGCCAGGTAAACACTAATTTGCCTGAACTCAATGTAGTTAACCCACAAACACCCTCCTAAATAGGAAAGTGGGTGTGTTAGAGAAGGGGGAAAGACCATGACCTGGATGTGAATTTTAGAAGGGAAAACGTCTCCCCACTGCTTTCTCTTCCAACCTTAGCAGGACCTTAAGGTTAACTTGTGACCGTTGACTAAAGAAACCCAACCGGAGGCTTCCTGTGTTAAGTCACTGCTGGAGAGAGTTACACTATTCTGCCACAAAACTACATGTTAGTAAACACTGCAAAAAATCATGGGACTCTCGAGAATTGCTCTGTGACTTCACGTGATTGGCTTTTATTTGGGTAGACAGAGGGCCTGGAGTAACTGGACAGTCGGGGCCCGTGCAGAACCCTACAGGATCAATGGTCTTGGGCCCAGGAATGGACGCCTGGCGCAAACCATCAGGAGCCACTGTCAAGGAATGCTGGCGATTGCACAACGCTTTATTGTCGGGAGCTCTGGCGCATGCTATTGTGTCCAGGCTCTGAGTGGCCAATGAAACCTGTGCTCTCTTAACCTATATTACCTCTCGATTGTTTGGTCTTGGCCTCACAAAGACAGGACCCTACTCAGGGAGACAGGCACTGCCACCAAAGGCTGACCAATTAAAGCAGTTCTTGTTTGCCCGTCCCGCTGCCACGGCCCTTCTCACAGCAGGCCGCTTGGTCCTGAGAACACAGGTGGGCCATGTGCTGGCACTTCCCACAGGCAGAGAAGCAGCAGAGCCTAGCATCAGTCCCAAACATTGGCACAAGCAAAGTGTTGGCATCAGCTTGTGTGACACGTTTCCCTGTTTCCTGGCAGCAGGTCCTGGATTATTTCTAAGTGCATCTGCAGTTTTGCTTCTGGTGGCTCAAAGCTGGTGCCGCAGGACTGGCTATGTAAGGGAAGCTTCCCCTTCCTCTCCTCTCTTCTCTCCTCCGCAGGCAAAAAGACAAATACAATTTCTTTCCTTTCAGCACAGATGCAATGTTTTCCCTTCTTTCTGCCAAGCCAGCACCTGACACCAAGACGTACCCTGACTGCCAAAACAAGCTTGTTGAACACTCAAGTACCTGGATGCTGGCAGAATGTCACTTGGATGTTAGCAGAAACCATTTTCTAATCGTCTCTGCCTACACCTGGCTCTGACATGCCCATTGCAAAAACAACAAAAAAAGCAGCCCTGGCCGGTTTGGCTCAGTGGTTAGAGCGTCGGCCCACAGACTGAAGGGTCCCGGGTTCGATTCTGTCCAAGGGCACATACCTGGGCTGCAGGCTCAATCCCCAGCCCCGGTTGGGGGGGGTGCAGGAGGCAACCAATCGATGTCTCTCTCACATCGATGTTTCCCTCTCTCTCTCCCCGCCTTCCACGCTCTGAAAAAGCAATGGAAAAAATATCCTCAGGTGATGATTAAAAAAACCACATAGATCCCTTCCCCTGGGCTCCTTTATTCTTTTCCTCTTTTCCTTTTTTCCGATTCTGGATACACACATTGCTTTTTAAAGCTTAGTATCAGCCCAAAGAGATGGAGTGGTCACTGCCATAGCAGAAATTGTCCATTCAACCAAACTGAGCAAACATGGGTGACTGCACAAACAGGCTGGGCTCTGGGGGAACAGATGGGACACTGTTGCTGCTCCCCTTAGGCTCATGATCTAAGGAAGCTGGACATGCACGTGGCTGAATTAGTCAGAACGTCCACGAATGAGGCATGAATGTTACTGGCATTAGAGTGAGAGAATGAGCCCCTCAGCTTAAGGGACGGAAGGGAAGGCATTGTGGAGAAGGTGGCAGGCGAGACAACCAAATGGATCAGGGGGTGTCCTTAGGGTTGGAAATGCAAACCATGAAGATGCTCAATCTTATTAGTAATCAAGGAAGTGGGAATTAAAATGCATGACCGTCATTCCCCAAATGACGCTAATTAATCACAGCCATGGTGGGGATGAGACTGCTCAGGAGGAACAGACAGCGAGAGAAAGGTGAGGACTGGCTTGTAAATGTGGCAGGATGAGACTGCCAAGGGCACGGGATGGAGCGATCAGAGGCTGCCGGTGTGGCGTCTCGGAAGCAAAGGGGCGAACACTTCAAGAAGGAAGGGGCAAAGTGCAGACCGCAGCTGAGAGATCAGCCAGGAGCTCAAGCAAGATGAGGACTGGGCAGTGCCCACTGGATCTGGCAACGTGGACATCACCACTCACCAAAGGGAGGGCGGGGAGAATGGGAAGTGAGGAAATGGAGATTTGGCTGGTCCCCTGGTAAAGGCTGTGTCATGGTGACAGGGAATTCATGGGGACACAGCACTCTCCCCTGAGACAGGGTGGGCCATGAGTCAGGGTGTGGGGGAGCCCCGCACCTCAGAAGAGGAGAGGGAAGAGGCTGAGAAGTGGGGAGAAGCAGCCACAGCAAGGTGGTGGGAGGCAGAGCCTCAGACAGGCACAGCCAGTGTGGGGCTCCCTGTGACACGTGTGCCCGTTGTACGTAGAGAACAGCGGTGTCTGGCTGGAATAACACAATGTGGGCAGCGACCACAGAAACAGAACGTCCTTGGAGTCAGTACACAGGGACCATTTCATTTTCCCCACAACATTCCACATGGTTGTTTGGAATTAAAAGTGCTCTCCCTCTCAGCTCTTACTGGGGAGAATATAAACAGCGAGAGCCTCTTCAGAGGGAGAGCTGGCGGTCTGTCAACACTCAAGATGTACAGACCTCTGGCTTCCTAATTCCCGCCTGGGAATTCATCCTGCAGAGCAGCGCCGTTCAACAGAAGCCCCTGCACCACGGAAGTGCTCGAGCCCCGAGACTCTTCAGCACTTGAGATGGGCTGGTATGGCTGAGGAACTGGACTTTAAGTTCATTTAATTCAAATTCATTTAAGCATAAATAGCAACATGTGGCTGGCGGCTCCCATACTGGACAGTGCAGCTTAGATATTCTGTCTCGTGTGTAGCAAGTATGCAAAGATATGTATTCACTGGGGCACTGAGAGTTATGGTAAAAGATTGGAACCTAAATGTCCATCAACAGGGAGCTAAAAATATTATATTGCACCCATATAATGGAATGTTAGCCCGGACACAGGCCAAGATGTACTGCTAAGTAAAGGTAAAGGGGGGGCCTTGGCCGGGGGTGCAGTTGGTTGGAGCGTTGTCCCGTACACCAAAAGGCGCAGGTGCGATTCCCGGTCAGGGCACATACGGTCGAGTTTCCCCCATCCCTCTCTCTCTCCCCTCCCTTTCCCCTCTCTCTAAAAATCAAAAGAAGAAAACAGCATATCCTTGGGTGAGGATTAAAAAGGGAAAGGAAAAAATAATAATAGAGGGGGAGGACAATGTGCAGAGCACAGCCACTAGTTTTTACAGAAAAGGACAGGAGACATGTACATAAATGTCTATGCGCTGGACACCTGGAAGGATGTTCCCCAAAACGGCAGCATTCTCTCCAGGGAGAGGCCATGAACAGCTGGGAACCAGGTGGAAAGACCATGTAACTGTTGCCTTTTCACCTTCAGGACAGGGCGCTGTGCACACAGTTGTTGCTTAGTCAGATTAATTAATGAACCACTTAAAATACAACAAAAACAGAAATAAAGAACTGGCTTATCAACAATGCATGGAAGCTGCAGGCGGGCATTATGTAAACTGTGTACTGAAGGATGCACGTAACATTTTAATAGGCATTCGACACACCCGGACCCTGTAACATGCCCCCCACCGCCCCGCTGGTGGTCCACTCGGGGCAGACATCTGACTTGGCTCGGAAATTAGTTTTGGTAATTAATCTGGCTTCTCCCCTCGTCCACCCAGGTTCAAATTAAACTGTGCACATGCTCTGCAATTTAGCATAACCAGTCTTGCCAGAAAAGTCAGCCTCGGTGTCATTCCTGCTTGGCTGGAGGGAGGGGGCAGACAAAGCACGGTGCTGTTTCCATAGTGCCCTGTGGCAGCTAAACCACCTTGGATTTGTGTAATCCCCTTGAACCGAAGGAAATGTCAACTGAGGGGCAGCGTGGTGTCCCAGGGGCCTGCCCAGCAGGACACCTGCTGTCTAGACCCAGTTGAACACAGACTTAGCACGTAGCCTGCTGGAGACCACACTCCCCTTCCCCAATTGGACCTCAATTCCCCCTCAGGACAAAGAGGTGGTTGAGTGGGACAGGGCTCTGGCACTCATGAATGAGGGGCCTACAGCTCATTCATGGCTGGGAGGAAAGTCCAGGTACT